GCAGAACTTTGTCCCCAGACTCTTTGTCTTGTGATTTGGATTTTTCACAGCTAACAGACTGGTTGGATCAATTTAAAGTGTCCTCACCAGAATCTTTAGCAGCTGGTGAAGCTCAGACTTGGTCTCCTGTTCTTACATTCCTTCAGTCACATGGTCAGCATTGTAACTATTACCTAGAGTACCCAGGAAATAGAACAGTGTCACCTCTGTCTCTGTTGTCCGGCGTGGAAGACTCTGACTTTTGTCCCTATGACATGTTTGTTGACAACCGAACAGATTCACCAGATTCACTTCCTACACAGTCTAAACAATCAGATGTAGTTGCTTCTCCACTGCTCTCTACAGTGAGACCTCTGACATATGCAGAGGTTGTTCGAGGTATTTCCTTTCAGTCACAATCAGAACCATTGTCGGATCTCGGGGAGTTGGATTCAGAAGATGTTTCATCTACTTTCCAAGCAGAGAAGTTGTCCAGCCCTCTAATTGAGGACAATTTGCTATCTGAGTTAAGCAGACATTCTCCTGAATCAATGGGATCTTGCAGTGACTTTAGGCTGGTGTCTTCAGATTCACCAATTCCTGACTTCAGATGTTCTCATGTTGAATGCAGTGCAGAGTTAACAGGACACAGGTCATTTACACCAGAATCTACATTGTCAGATTGGGAAGGCACTGATTTGTGTCTGGAAAGTATTTTTGAGGACAACAGACAAGAGTCCCCTCAGTCAGTTGTGTCAGACTTTGATCTGGACAATACTTGTATAAGCAGAACAATGTTTTCCTATTCGTGTTCCCCATCACTGACATATTCAGCCGTTTCTTTTACTTTTTCTTCACTGGTTAATTCTACCAAATGTCAGACATTGACAGTAGATTTTCATGACAACCAAATTGAGAAGCCAGGTTATCCCTTTCCTTACCAACATCCATTCGTCAACAATGCCGCATCTTCCTCAACTTTTCTTCCCTATGATAAGTATTATTCTTTTCAACAATCCCATTTAAAAAGCAACATTCTACCTATTTCAAAGTTACATGATCCCTTCTATAAGGGACCGTGCTCTCACTGTACCTCCGTGCCTCCCCAGTCTCTGTAATTTTTCATTGTTTATCTAAATGAATATAATCCTTCTCATCTTCTGAAATGCCCCCTATACATTATTGCATGTTTTTTCATGCCGTTTTGTTTTAGTGCCACCAATTTTAGTGTGCACAGTTTCCAATCTGTATGGAGAGGTATGTTGGTCTAAGCACATGTATCAATATAAATATGCAATCATTTGAGGAGTGTGCATTAAGTCCCATACAAGCCCACTCAATAGTATTTTCATGCTTTCATCTCTGACCACTTCTTTTTTTACCTGTTCTCAGCTAGCTGGCATGGTCATGTCTCTGCTTTTTTGCAACTCTTCCTTTCCTCGTTTTTTAGATTTTCTGTGAAAATACTGTGTTCACTGGAATTAAGAGCAATCAATAACAACAAGCAAGTCAAAATACTGCAGCAAATGAAAAAAATATAATAAAATAAACAATAGTACTTCAAACTTTTTTGTAAGGTAATGAACAATTTTTAGATTTTATTGTAGATTTTTGGAGGAAGACCAATCTTTTTCTTCAGATATTTTCATATTTTCAGACTTGATGAAAAACATCTACTTGTATTTTCAGATGTATTTTCCTCAAAGTTGACAGTAAAAGTATAAAATATTTGTCTTGGATATTATATATGTGTATTTCCTAATAAAAATACAAATAGTTTGCAGGAGCTAAACTCCTTAAGACAAACATTTTTACATATCACATAGTTGTTTAAAAAACTTCAAAATATTACCTAAAATTCACAATATTTGTATGCTTAACTAAATGTTCCCAGCGTGCCAACTTCAAGTGTTTCTTTTACTTTGGCTGTTTGGTATTTAGATTTTTTGATTGTTGTTGGTTATTTTTCATTCCAGCAAATAGAGCATTTTCAAGGAATACTCTGATTAGATTAGAAAGACCGCACTGGTAGTGTGATTTATGAACTTAGACCTGAAGTTGTGAATACATTTTCTGGGTTGAGTGCAAGCAAACTAGAGTTTTCAGAGGTTAGTGTGTGCCACAACACGTTTGAATGAGCTTGTGTGAAAATTAAATGGAGACACCTCAAATTACTCTTTATATACATAGGTATATGTTCTCAGATCCGCCTCACTGTGTGCTTGGATTGGTCACTATATGCTCATGTTGGTGGCACAAAAATAACTCCATTTTGGCATGTTTAATCTTTTATCCTATAATTTTTTAAGTCTCCAAATAAAATCACCAAAAGTTACCATGTCTGTTTTTGAAAATGAATTAATTTTCAAAAACGGATCAATGTTTCTTATATGAAACATTCTTATAAGAAACAAATCAATGTTTCTTATAAGAAACAAATCCTTCCCCAAATTTGATGCATGCAGTCGGATGTTTGAGGACAATGTGCAACTGGCTCCACCAGAGCTCTCACAGCATTACACAAAAAGTTGTGTCATTTGAATGTATTCCCCAAAACGCAACCTAAGATGCCAATTTCTCCTCCGATAGCCAATACATGATGAGCACCATGGCTGAATTACGAATATAATCTCATATTACTGTTTGTGTTTGTCGCCACCATTGTTTTCAATGATTTCTCGTGTGAACAAGCTTATTCAATTGTGAAGTAGTGGGAAATAGCAATACAGTAGGACAAAAGTCCTTTAAATTGGAAGTGAGACTAATATGAAGACTTATGTGAAAATAAGCATGTGAAACATTTACATATTAACTATTTTTTAATGTGTGGCAATTAATTCTTCAACACTAACCTCATAATAACATAAACCAGAAAAATTGTAGGAATTCTGTGATGGAGAGAGTCATGTGATCATGATCATTTCTTGCGAGTTATACTAATAGTTACGACTACTAATTGGTGGCAGCGACCACCAAGCCATGTAGTGGCCATCAGTAGCAACATGCTGCAGGTATTTCTCAGGTTGTAACAGTAATGATCAGCCTACTTTTCAATGTGAAGTCAGAACTCTTATGTTGACACAAGTTATTTCACTGACATCACTTGTTAGTGGTTGCTTTGGTTTGAAGTTGAATCACATGCCATCTGTAAAAGCAAGGGAGTGGTTTCCTCATGCTGGCTTTGATGTACATGGTCAAGCAAAAAAAAAAGACTGAGTGAAAAACCGTCCTTGTGTGGAGAGTGCCTGAATCTAGAGTGCTTATTAGGACAACCTCTCCCTCAAGATTTCTCCTCAAAGGAAATCCATGTTCAAAGACAACAGAAAGATCCCTTGGTGTTGGTAAGAAAGCACAAGCACTTGTTTGTTCATGAGTGCAGTGTTGGTTTCAAAATTTTTAAATTAATGTGGCGCTATAAAAAGTCATACTGTTGATGCTTCTTGGGCATTTAACAAGTAAAGGCTTTATTGTCGCATGTTTGCTTTTCAAGCATTGAGACGATTCGTCAATGTAGCAAAACTAATCTAAATCCCTACAACCCCATAATAATTGAGATGAGCTTGTTTTTTTTTTCATTCTATTCTTTCTTAACTGCAGTAAGGGTTGTAAGTGGCAACAGGTGGAAGCATGTGTTGAGTGACACTCGCTCTTGACTGAAATGTGTATGTTTACATTATATTTAAACTATATATCCACACAGTATTGTCTAGGCATACCTCTCCACTGACACAAATGATAACTGCCTTACTCTTTCTATCTGATCTCAAAAAGGATCTTTCCTCAAGACACAAAAATACAAAAATAGTGTATTAATTATTCTGGTTTCACATAATGCAATTTGGGTAAAATGTGTTTGTGTGTTAGTGAAGGGGTATAAAGCTCTGCTGAGAAGGAGCTGCTGTTCTGTCTTTCAGGAAAGTTTAAGAACCTCAACAGACAATCCTGATGCTATAAAAACCGTTTTATCATTGCACATGTTTTGCTTCTTGGAAACAACTATATATAAAAGTTATATGACAGTTATATAAACTCATCATCCCCTTCACTGCTAGTCATTCTAATTTTAATATAAATTTATTTGTGCCCTTCTGTAATGTGGAAAACTATGGTATTATGCAACCTTTTATAGAGTCTGCTTAAACTACTGTGTGACCATCTATCACACTAGAACAGATGTCTCCAATCTGACAAAAAAATGCTGTAAGAAAAGCCCTCCTGTTCAAAGGTATAATCTTAATACTCATGCATGTTGGGCTACAAATAAATTTTTAACAGGCTTAACTCTTGCGCTTTCAACTACAAAAACCATTTTGGCTTGAGTGTTGCTTCCCAAAGGCACTTCAAAAAGTATTTATGCATTTTTTTCCCCCCCGTTCCATTGTATTATTTCTTTCAGGTATCATCTTCAACTTTCAAGACAGATATTGCTCAAGCCCCAAAACACAACAATGTTGATATGGGACAAATTCAGGGCATGCAAGCAGAGACACTTTTGTTGACACATGATTCAAACACAGCAATGACAACATCTCACGATGAACCTGTGTGGGACGTAGTGAACACTGAATATGACATTACATCGACCAGCCAAAGTAGCTTTCCACAGGGAAAATATGAATATAATGAGTCAGACTCTGAGACTCTAGAATCACAAGAAAACTGTGGTTCTGTACTTAACATCAAGTCCTCAAACTCTAGCCCAACATCACAGAAATGTGGATCTCCTCAACTTGATCAGATGTTTTCTGATTTGAAGGAAATGAAACTGAAGTTATCACCAGAAAAACTTGATTCATATGCATCTGAGTCCTCTGATAGCAGCCCCGAGGAGAAAGAAGCTTACACATATGCAGAACTTTCACCTGAAGAGGAATACCCTACTGAAAATATAAATAAAGTCGGTGTGTTTCCTGTTCCGCAGCTTACAGAAGGTATTGTAAATGTAGGACAATGTCTTGATACAAAACATGCATCTGAGTCAGACTCTGACATTCATCAAGAATCGAATTCATCAATCCCTGAAGTCCATCAAAAATTTGGTGAGGAAACTCAACAACAAAGCTTTGGACACTTTCAGTCTTGCCAAAGTATTCAGAGTCATACTGAAACATTTTCTTCTCCGAGAGACACACTTGAGAAAAATCTGAATGAGTTCAACAGGAAAAACCTCATGACAAACACCTATTCAAATTGCGAAGGACAATGCCTACCTTCACAGTCTTTAGAGTCGAGGGGCACAACAGAAGAAGCCTCTGCCGAGACTAACCAAGATCAGCGTTTATGGGAGGGAACCTCCACTAAAGCCATATCTACCCAGCCTGTGTCTGATTTTACTCCTGACATAGCTACAGCTTCGAGACATTTCAGCTTTGATGAGCTGATACCTTACCCCTCTTCCAGGAGTGTAGAAAAACTTTCTGATGAATATTTTGCCCCTGAATCTCCTATATTCAAACTCAAAACTGAAACTTCCTCATCAGGGTCTGATGAGGAGTACACCAACCCACTAGAAGCTGCAGAGATCTCCTCTGCTTCGGGGACCTATGCCAGGACCCCTCTCAGAATTGCTGATGGGACACAGTGCAGAATGGACAGTCCAAACCTGGAATACTCTGACATGGAGTCTTTTTTCGACTGCAAACAAGTAGTGTCGGATTTGTCAGAGAATGAATTTGATGCGCCTGAGACAGCTGTTAGTGCAGATCCAGCTCAGCATCAGTTCGACACAGGGACACAGGAAAAAGCAAAGCAAAAAATGCTCCCGTCTTCTGGAAGTGAAGATTATGAAGACGCTCTTTTGGTTCATGAGTCGTACAATCAGGAACTTGAAGAGAGCAGAGAATCACTACATCACTCAGAGACATCAGATGAAGAATTCTCTCTGTGCAAAACTTCTCTACCTTCTGGAACTTACTGTACTGATAAGTCTCTGCAAAGGGTAAGACGAGCGTAAAAAAAATCATCCGAGTATTGTGTTTTTTTTGTTTTGTTTTTTTATGCCAGAGCCGAGTAATAATGTTAATTAGATTTGCCTCATGAAGAAATGACCGCTAACCCTCTGGCTGGAAAATTTTAATCTACATTTCGCTATGAACCACGTTTATTTTATTTCCAATTTAACAAACCCTAACTCAGCATGTGTCACTGCAGCTTGACTTAGCAATGTCACCTGGTGATGATTTGTTCTTTCAAAATTTCAAGCATGACATTTTTCCAAATGTTTTTTTTTTTTTTTTTTTTTTCCAAGTGCTATGTTATATCTTCCAGTGTAACATCCAACACACTGGAAAGTGCATTATTCCACTCCGCTCCCGGCTTGCTTTGCTACAAACAAAATCTTTATGTAGGGGGAGTAAATGAATTGATTCTGAACAGATTTGTATTGCTTGGTCAGGAGCTCTCTGCAGAATTTGGATCAATATCAGAAAGTTCAGATGAGGAGTTTCTGACCACCAGAATAATACGAAGGAGAATTTTCATCAAGGTATCCTATTAGGCATGGCTGATGATGCGCTGATTTGGCATGGAAACCTTGACTTTACTGTCTTTTTCTACCAAATAAAATGAATGAACATGTGTGTTTCAGGACTTTAACTTCCACTTTGTTTGCACAGATGGCTGAAGGTCTTGGAGGTGTTTTATTCTGCTGTGAGCACGTCTTTGCCGATTTCCTTTGACGGAATAACCCTTAACGTTTTGTTGCCGTTTCCCTAATTTCCCAAACTTTTCTTATGAACCTGAAATGCGAGTACTACGTTTCTGCCCCATGTGTTGCCGAGTGCGGTGATAAACACACAAACTCGTTCTGAACCAAACTGCCCTTTCTGATTGACAATTGTTCTGTTTCTCAAACAGGATGATGAACTAGCTCACCTCCCTGCTCAGTCCGTGACTGAAGAAAAGTACCGAGATGAAAATGGGCATTTAGTTGTCAAAAGGGTAAAGTTGGTTTTCATTTGCTCTAATTTCTGTTGCTTTCTTTTAACCTTTAAACCCATTACTGGGTTTTGTGCAGCTGTTTCAATGTGTAGTGTTGATTAGATGTCATCCTGTCGCTTTTTTTGACATGCAAACAATTTTCTCACTCAGGTTACACGAAAAGTAATCCGCAAGTGTGCTTCTGTGGATGGTGAAGAGATACCGTCAGAAGGAGCTTCTCAGGACTCTTTGACTGTAGCAGACAAAGACGGTTATTCCAGGACGGCAAAGCGGACCGTACTAAAAAGTGTTGGAGACCACACAGAGGTGCATGTACTCTCAATATCTATAACGTACCCTGAAAATGTATTTTTCCCCTTTTAGATTTCTTGTTTATTTGAATTGTTTTCACATTTAAACATTTCTGAACTTTAACTTTGCCCCATGAGAGAGGGAAGTTACTTGTTCAAATGAGGAGCAGTTTATTTTGACAAGCTTTTTGTCTTTAATAAATGAAATTAGAATTTTAAAACGCTGGTTTTGTGTATTAATGTTATATTTGTCATATATGGAAATTTGTTTGATGATGTGAAACATTTAAGTGTGACAAGAAAACAATGGGATAAATATGTAAAGGGTCAAATATTTTTTTCTCAGCACTGTATGCAATAATTATAATAATATGACATTTACATTGTTTGCAAAAGATTGTAAATATACTGATAATATTTTATGCCCACCTAGGTCACATTTTTAAAAAGTGAAGGCTTCCTGTCATCCAGGCAAGAAGAAATTGATTCAGAAAAGAAAACTGTGGTTGAGGAGGAACGGACAGCAACTTCCCAGGGAGATCCATCTTCGGCCTCAAAGCTCCCATCAGCTCAAAATTATTCCAAACAGGTTTGTAAAAAAAACTTCTTGATGTTCCCGAAATTAGATCTTGCAAACTATATTGATCTGTGATGGAATAGCAACCTTGCCAAGTTACACCGTGCTTGTTAGGTCCTGTGAAATCCTGAACAAATAGGTGGCTTTTAGCAATGGATGGTTAAAAAGAACAAATATGAAAAAATGAGAAATTCTTAAGCTCAACTTGAAAACACAATCAGAAAACACTGAGCTCCCTCCTGTAGAAGAGAGATTGCCCAATGTTCATTTTAAGTGATTTACTATTTTGAGTGATTTGGATTTTGCAGAACTTTGTTCTCAATTTTTCTGTTGTTTCGGCCTGAACTATGTCATAAAATATCTTAACAAAAGCATGTAAAACTATTTTGAGCTAATCTCCTCTCAGCAGTTATTAATTATTGGTAGTAGGAGCAGATACAGTAGAGGCAAGGTCACACACTCATGCTGTAACTGATATAGCTGATACTGATATATCTAGCAGTTGCAGATATATCCAAATCCACATTGTTTTATTACAGGAGAAGGATTGGAAACTGAAAAGCATTAGACAGAAAAACATTTCCATTTCTCTGGTTCTTTCAATTTTATCTTTAAACACCTCACTGATCCTGAAAATACCTAAATTTGAGTGTTCTTCCCACTGTAATAATTAAATGTAGCTGTTAGCACTTATATTTAACATCTTCTTATTCTGTCTTAAGGGCCCACATGCGTAAAGGTTCAACCCACAAACAGTGGTGGAAGGATCCGTGCAGCACGAAGACGTCCTCATTTCGCAATTGGAGGACCCAGGAGAAGATCAGTTGCCTGTGATCAATAGTAGCAACTCCACCAGGTTTTTAGCTGCTGCCATGAAAATGAGGACAAAAGACAAAACAGAGGTGGAAGAGCAACTGAATGACTAACTCTCTCCCCAGATCCCCAGCTCTCTCCACACTAAAGTCCCTGCTAATCCTATGCATTAGCCACATGCAATCCCAGTGTGCACCTCAGAGACACCACAGTCTTCCCATTTCAGTCCTGGAAGATGAATTTTTGTTTTCCAAATTTTTTTTTCTCTTTTTTTTCACGTTATCAAACCATGATTTTTTTTTGATTTTTTTTACATTATTTTCTGAAGTTGCTTTGCCTTTTTATGACCAAAGAAAGCCTTCTGTTGTTTCCTTATTGAGTTATTCTTAATGTCTGGGTTGTTGTAGTTTTGCTTTAAACACATGGAAGAGCAACAGGAAAACAGACGATAAAAACAGAGGAATACAGTCCAAGGTAAAGAACAACTTACCTTACAATAAATTCAGCTACTGATGTCTTCGTAGGGGTTCAGAATTAAACAAAATATATATATATATATATAATTTACATCACTCTGGTCCTAACATGCTTCTTTCACCAACAGCTCGAGTCCTTTTCATTTTTTTTTTCCTTGACTCAGGTGGTCAGGATGTCACAAACAGAAAAACGGACTGTGCTGACACAAAATGTAACTGCTGCTGTCGTGTTTCGTGTAGACTATGTGTACTCTCGTCTTTAGTAGCCAGAAACATATATTATCTATTATATGAAAATAGCTGACATCTGTAGCCTAGGAATTAATAATCACTCACGTGAAGTAAAACTGGCATGGCTAATCAACACGTGTCAGTGAGATCCCGGCTTTGACTGCTTTTGCCGCTCTGTGGATTGTCTTTCAGACTTCTTTTCCTTTCCTCAGTGTGTCTTTTTGTGTGTAATTACATTTGTTCCTCGGCTTTCTGATCTTGACTCATGAGCTATGGATGATGAATGTGTGCCGATCAAGCTGCAGCAGTGGTGACTGGTTTCACTAGAGTTTTGCAAGCATCACCACTTCAAAAGCTATTTAAATTTCAGGTATCCATCAGGAAAAGAGAAACATTCACACGTTTCTGTGGAGCATAACCAGGTATTTGCAGAACCATTTAATGTAAAAAGCTTTATTAGCTCTTTTTTTTTTTTTTTTTCTTTTTCATTGAGAAAATATTTAATTGAGTGGATGAGTGTGTGCTTGTTTATTTTACATAAATCGCTTTTGCACTCCTGAATGTCAGGTGGGAACCCCTCCACGCTTTTTGTGCACAGGCCATAAGGGAACAGTAAATGGGCAGTTTCGTTGCAGAGGGTTGCGGGTTGTGGAGGACGATGCGATGACACAAGATGGCTGAACGGTGTCACTGTGCTTACCTGGGACATGTATATCACTCTCACTGTTTACGTTGTGATTTAAAGAAAACATGCAAAATAGTGGAAGTTCACTGTGACAGGTTTGCTTTTAGTTTACTGAAACAGCATTGTTTTTTGATGACAGTTATGTGCATATACAGCTCATAATTATATAATTATCTACAAGGGCATGAATTATTGTATTAAATTTCAAACGGACTAAAAGTAAATGGCTGCAGTGTATCTATGACTGGTAGAAAATAAAAACCTACAACCACATGGTGTTGGAACTCAACCATACATCTTTGCGCAATCTCTCTAATTTGCCCAGAGTCCTGATACAATCTTCTCTTCACTTCACCCCACAGCTTTTCTGTAGGCTTGAGGAGAAGGTCGGCTCTGTGAAGAAAAAGTGTGAAATGTTGCTGCACGGTTTGACAGGAAAAAGAATAGCGCTATCTGCTGGACAGACGTAATAATTTAAAAATTGGTACAAAATAGCCCTGAAAGAAATCCTAACTGAAAATGATGTGTTTTAGTACCTTCAGAAACTGAGACCAGAGTTTACATAATAAATATCATCTGGCAAATTCAAGCAGTATACATTTAACATTGTCAAAATGGGTTGAAAATTACATATTAAATGGCACAAATGAACCAAAGTTCTCTTAAGTTTTAACATGGTAAAGACTGAATTACAGATGTTTTAGTTATAGAAGGTAACTATAACTTTACTTCTGCAATTTTTCCCCCCTCAAAGCAAATGTGCTTAAAATAAATGGATAAAATTAAAAATAATAATAATAAAAAATCACAGTGAGATAATGCAGTTACTCTATCTGCAATAGCGATTAATTTATTTTTAAGTTTTTTACACACATATTTGGGGATTGCCAAGTTGTTTGCATCCTATAGAAAGGTACAGTGGATTCTGTGATACCTTTTTTAATATCTATACTACATCACATTATATGATGAACATATTTTAAGACTAATAGTTGCAACGGATAAAAGTTATACTGCCCTCTGGTGGCCATTAAGCGTGTTTCAGCATCAGGTTCATAAAGTCCAGATATGGCTTTAAGGTTTGGCGATGGAATAAAAGTTGATTGGCGACCTGGTTGGGGTGTAGCACACCTTTGAATCCCTACAGATAGAAAATCTGCCATAAATTCATGGTGAACTTTAGTGTTTTCTGTCTGTGGAGTGTTGTCTATGTCAGGTGTAATAGAATCTGCAAAAACTGTAAAGAAATGAGAAACTAGAACTCAAGAAAAATATTGCCATAGTGCATAAGTTGTTCAGTTCAGCATGTTGGAGTTCGAGCATTTGTAAACAATGTGAGGCTTTTATTTCTGTTCTGAGAAAAGACTTGCATCAGAAGACCCAAAAATTTGTTTTTTAATGAGTTGTCCCTGGAGCCCAATTTGTCAAAAAAAAAAAAAAAAAAAAAAAAAAAAAAAAGGTGAGTGAACTTACTCCCATTTCTGGCTAAGAACACAGCCATGAATAAGGAGTAGAATCAAAACATATTTCAAGACTTACTTCTTCTGGCAACACAGACTCAGTTTGAAAATTTAATTTTTGCAGGATGACTGAATAACAAAGTGGATCATGAATTCTGGGTCTACTGCACATCCTCAGATCTTAAACATGTTTAAAATATGTGGTAAATTATAAAAAGGCAGATAAGGAGAAGGTAACAAACTTATTAACTAGAGCAAGAAAAGTATGGGTCACCATCAGTTAGGATTTAGCTCAAAAGTTTGAATTTCAGAGAGAAATGTAGGGATTAATTTTAAAAGTGAATTATATAGTTTTATATTTTATGGAAATGTGCCACAAATAATGACTATAAAATGTTATTCACAGAACAGATGTAAACACATTTGTAACTATGCAATAAATGTTTTCATTTAATAACTATAATTTTATAAAATGTTAAGCTGCAACTCAGAGAAATTTAAAATGAATGAAATTAAAGACCAATCTGTTATTACAAAAGAGCCAACTGGCAGTTTGGGAAAAAAAAATTTATTATCATGACAATATTTCAAACTAAAGCCAGTTTTCTCATAATAATGGTTACATTACAGTACCAATCTGGAGTTTACAGACACTTATCTGAAAGCAAGCTCAACTATGTAAACATTCAGATCTCCCAAATCAAATAATTTTACGTGTTCTTTTTAAAGGGGGAATGATTACACAGAATACACCTTTAATACATTTTAAAAACAGTCAGGTGCACTATTTTGAATTTGTTGACTTTTTCCGATTCACAAGGAGGCAAAAATTACAGATACAGGCTCAAGTAAGATAATATTTGGGTAAATACTCAAGCAGCCCCATGACCATATGTGTTTTGTAATTAGGCTTTAACATTTGGATGTGTTTATGTTGAAGAAAGGAATTCTTTCTTAGCTCTCACAAATCTATGGTGATATTAGCATCACTTAAACATAAAAACCGGCATTCATGCATCTTTTGGTTTATACGATGGGCGTAACCCTTGGTGATTCCTGGGTTGGTGCTGAACATCCTGACCAACTTCCAGAAGCTTGTTATTGACTACAAAAACCACATGGATAAGACAAAGCTTGTTAATTAACCAAACATTAACAAAGGTTCCTGTATAATTGAGCCTGCATCGATATTTTGGACACTTTGTGGATTAGAGAAAAGCCGCAAATTAAATATTGTGCACAAAATTCTTGTTTACAAAATTCATTGTTGTTTGAGGCAGTGACACCTTTAAAACAGGAAGAGCTTAAATCGTTTAATTTGGAAGATCAGAATGGCTTAAATGCAACATTAAAAGCCCCAAATCAATTACATCTATGCCAATGAGGAGTGCAAATCAACTTTTGACTGGCAATGTTGCTTGATTACCATATCTTGAGATAAATAAAGAATATCAAGTTAAACTCAGTTGTAACAGATACACAGCTGTTCTCATTCTCAACATCTGTATATTTAAAATTCAAGGGTATACATAGAGTATATAGATCTAAATCAAAGAACGCACGCATTTTCCACACTAAGGTCATACACAACAGTAGCTCTACAGCAGAAAAGCCAATCAACCAGCCACACAGACATGAGTTAAAACCCATTTTTCATCACACTTTTTAGCTGATATATTTATTTCTTAAACATGTTAAGCCATCCATTGCCATGCTGGCAACAGGTACACACCATGTAAGGAGTAGTGCAATGCACTGACATCATACTTTTTGTCAAATGAAACGCTTATCTTTTCCCTTTCGAAAAAGAAAAGAAACCAGTTGGAGACAGCAAACAATGTGGACAACAAAGACACAGTCATTGTTCTGCCATGGGGACACAGACAGCCAGCCGAAGCTCTGCTCCACATAGAAGACATCCCAGCTTCCAAGGCCGTCCAACTATTCACCCCACATTTTCCCTCCAGTGTCATCCGGTCGTCACTTGATGCGAGTGAAGTTAGATGCCAGGGCCTTTTCTTTGTCTTTATCATACAAATCCTCTCTCTGCAGCTGGCAACACGCAGGTATGACAGCAGAATGACAACAGAAAGCCGACACACAGGCACACGATACAAGTACAAACTGTGAAAAATTATCTTGTGTTCGTTTCCGTTAATTTTTTTTTTTTTTTTTTTTTATACAAAATGTTTGGGGTACTTCGGCAGCCAACATTTTATTTCCCTCCTGTTCAACATGAGGTTTAGATAAGATGTTTGTTTTTTTTAATTGTTATTATTTAACAACATTTTTGTGACACTGGAGGACATTAGAAATGGTTTGGGACAGGACTGATGCACAACAATAACAAATGCAAACAAGTCTGTGACTGACAAATTAAAACAGCAGATATTTTTAGTTTCATATGATCTTACTCATGGTAACACCCCCCACCCCCACCATGCACTACACAATAAATCTTGGATTTTCATATGTTACATATATGCTACATTCTCTTATTTCTTATTTCACTGATATAAAGGCAAACATATCTCAATGCAAAGTGTAAGCTACTCTGCTTTTCTTTACATTTAAATTAGTACTATAGATTGAAATCTGACAATTTAAACAGTATGACAGCTCATAGCAAACAGAAATGTAGCTCATAAACTTGATTTTACAGAAATTCTCAAGTCTTCTGATAGCAAGAATAGCAGATTCAGTGTTTGTTTTTGTTTGTTTTCTTTTCATCAACAATCACGTTGTATATATACATCACCAGAACTAAAGCAAGCTCAATTTTTGAACATTCTGATCTCCCAAATGGTTTTCGAGTTGCACACACAGAAATACACGTAAAAATACAGAACTAATCTTCAGGAGAGGTTACAGCTGAGGAATTTTTAAACATCTCATTTTATCTTTAAAATGCATACCAAAAACGTTTAAAAAACAAACCAAAAAGAAAAAACAAAATGTTCTCAATATGTTTGTTTCATAATGTCCAAATACAGTGTGCTGCCACCCAGTGGTGGGTTTGGATATTGTCCGTTCAGAAAATACCATAACAGTAAAATGTAATAATGCTTGTATCCTGTGCGACGTCACGTCCTTATGGAAGGGTCAAAGGTCTAAAGAGCTGTCAGGAGGGTTGGCTAGTTGACTGCTCCACTAGATTTTTTTTCCACACACTGATATTCCATTAACTGTAAGAAAAGACAAAAAATATAGGACTTAAAGAGCATAAATCATTCTCTGTTCCACAATAACTACATTGAAAATATGGTGTAGATTTAGAAATACTGCCATAAAGTGCAGAGACATAAATAATATGGCTGCACAGCCATTTTAGGGGTAAAGTTTGGTATAAAGGTTGTTAATTTGTGAACCTCTTTTGACATCAGGCTAATTGGGAAAATCATGTTTGTAATACATGTTTACAAAAAAAATGCCAATTTAAATAATCAAACAAAACTAACGTATCATGGATTTTATCCAAATTCAACACAAAATCAAAATTTTATTACCAACTTCGGTAGGTTGGTAATCTATTGGGTTCAAGATATCTATTGAACCCAGTAGATATCTTCACATATTGGTAAATCAGGTGTGGCCTCAGACCCACTTGATGCCACAAATCAAAAGGTTCATTAGTTTGTACTTTTTTAAGTTTGCTGTGTTCTTTCATAAAGACACAGAAATAGAAAAATAACAATGTTTTCATCTATGCTGTATTTACATGAAGAACATATCAAAAGTTGGGTTTCCAAACAGGAAAGTGACAGATTTATTCCACTAAACCTAAGCTCAAAATTCAATAAGGTGCCAATCAGGATGTAGACGATAAATTATGACTCTTAGTCATAGAGCAGAGGCAACATGCACCATCCTATATAAAATTACTTAATTATTACTGTCAATTTTTCCATGCAGTTTTTTTTTCTTTTTCTTTTTTTAAATGACAAAGTTATATAAATATGTTCCCATTTCCATACTTCTGTCAAGTCACATCATGTTTTTTGAGTGCTTCATGCAACATTGCTAAAAGTCATGACTTTAAGGCGTTTAGTGTTTTACAATTGGTGCTGCTAATACAACTGACAGTGGAAGTGATCATGTGATCATGTGTCCTTTGATGCAGAATCGAAGGTTTATTGGAGAAAAATTGGACCAAAATTAAATTTTCAAGATATGATAACCTTTAGTAAAACTAATAGTTGCATGGTGTTGTTATATTATTCGGAATTTTTAAAAACAAAATACAATGTCTAACATCTTTTAAGTATAAACACAATAGCAACAATTATTCTGACTGCTGATTAACATAACATGCATATTAACATTGTTACATTTATTCATTATATGTCTGATTACATCCAAACTTCAATAAAACAACCCCGACTAAATTTAGCAATTATTTTGCAACTCGAGTTTCATTCAAATGTGTCTTTCCAATTTGTGAGGGAAATATGCTTAGCCTTCTTTTAGCCAGCAGAGTTCAGTGTACAGCAACACGAGGCAAAGAGGCGACTCTGCACCACTCTATGCTCTGTACAGGTTGGGGAAACTGTACAGAGCATCTGACTTAAAGTCCTACGTACCCTAGGAATGCGGCAGGTAATTTTAGTGGCTCAGTTAAATCTTTATTCATTATGAATTAAGTGCAAACCAATGAAAAAGTTTCCTATGGAAGCCTAACACATTTCTAAAATGAAATATTTGGTAAAAATATACACTGTTTATACATACACCCACCCTTTTTAGGATGAATTAGGATTATCATTTATTGCATGAATTGTATTCTTTGAACTGGTATGTGTGCCTTTAGCTAAAGCAAGAGTCTTGCTTATCGATTTCTTATGGCCTCTTACTGAGAGGGGATGCTGGGTGAGCCCGAGCGATGGAAGTGAATGTTCTGCCACTTTCCATCACGACGTTGCCACACACGGGTCTCCTCGGACTGCATGGTGCGCGGCATGCCACTCCCGTCCATGTACTGGGTCAGCCGGATATAAGCAATGCACGCAGCGTTTTCCCCAATGAGATGCACGTGTGGGTTCAGGAGGATAGTGTGCACCGGCTTATTTCCTTTAGACAGCGCTGTGAATGAGAGATTACAAAGAAAACACGGCGAGTAAGTAATGTGGAAATCCACTTTTTCCCCGTCACTTACAAGTAATCCATTATAATGATCTAAAACCAATTTGAATTACACCAAAAGCAATACACTGTTTCTTCCTTGTAGTACAAGCTAATAGTGCGTGAGGAACCCAAGTCTCCATATGTTGATGTTGGAGAGCGGACAAACAGGGGCTTGCCAAGTGATTGAGGTTTCTGGGACATATCTGGTTTATCTGAACTATTTTTACCCGGGCTGAGAACATTCTGCCATTTACGGCAGTCATTATTCATGAGTGAGTTTTTTGCTCCAAGGTTAGTTCATGCCCTTGCAGAGTGGGAGCAAACACAAACAGCAAACTGATCAGACTAAATATTGATACTGAACACCCAACTGATGCCGTACAAACATCCTGAATTTATAGTTCTGTCAGTTGCATCCTCTCCTGCACATTTTGTAGTGGAACCACCTTAACTATTAATTTAAAGTAAAATGGAAAGATGTATTATAAGTGTTAGTTGCTTGGCTATTTTTAGGTAATCTGCTTGCTTTTGCAAAAACTATCAGTAGCTCCTTCATGCTGCTCCAGTTTGAGCAGCAAAACTGGGCAATCGAGGAACCTATTTACAGCTAACCTGAATTACTTTCTTTAAAAGCGTGAAGCAGGACACTGGCAGTGAATTTTTAGCACAGTTTGCGCTTCAAATGAATTCTCCCCAAGCATTATGCACTTACTTTTTTATGATCTTAATTTAATTAAAATGCAGCAAAATTCTGAGTGTATGCGTATAGAGGGTAAAGGTTTGGGAGCAAGATAAAAAAAAAAGTCAAACAAGAACATTGGGGTGTATTTACTGCACGATCCCATTGCTTTCACTAGTATGTACCATTTTACACATTAGGTATACACTTCAGTTACCAGAAAAGAAACGATAAAAAAGGAAAGCTGTTGCTTTAGGGTTGAGAATATTTACAAGAGTGAAAAAGTAAAAAGAAAAGCCAACTTCTCTTTAATTTTTGTTTACAGGCTTCTTGTCATCTTTTGGTGCTTTTTGCTTCTTTCTATTTCTGTTATGTTTACAAGACTAATTTTTTTCAGTTCCCTCGCTTTAGTTTCATCCCAATTACAAACAAAGAAAGCTCTCCACATTGGAATTTGTTACGAGAACTTGTGCAATAGCTTACATCGCACTAAAGTAAGCCACCGCATTAATTTATCTCTTTGTTTGAAAACCCTACGACCATCGGCAGACGTCCAATAATTTGATGGAAACAAAACTGCCTTCTAATTTTTCTCCATTGTTCATGTTAGATGGAGAAACTTGGTGTTCTGTACTGCAGTGGATGTCACTGGTGACAAAGAAAAGCATTGCAACTTTTACAAATTACCTTTAATTTGTAGTAGGAGCCACCAATTTGTGTTCTGTAGAAAAATGTTAATAATTACAGCTAATGTTTTTTATTTTTCTTAATTGCCTTGAACACACCATTCTCAAAGTAGAAGCGATGGAAGTCGTGTCCTTCCACCAGATTACCCAGGGCCTCAGGCTCGAAGGACGTCAAACCAGGATCACAAATCTTCCTGTTGTGTATAAAAAGGGAGTCCGTCATGAGAAAATGGAGGAGGCAGCTGATTACAAACGGTTAAATATTACTGTGCATATGCAAAATGTGAACTTACGCATAGGCTTCAAAGTCTCCATTATTTATAGACTCAATCAGCTGCTCAGTAACTTTTATAATTTCCTGTTTACGAGCTACAACAAGAAAAAAGAACGGAATGTTAAAAAAATGACGAACAAGTAAAATTTTTAAGCAAGTAATGTCTTAGTGCAGATAAACAATTTGGTGTCGAATAGCATTAAATGAGTTCTAGTCTACACGTTTGCAAGATTCCAAAACAGGTATTAGAAATGGAAGGCGCTCAAAAAAAAGTCCTAAAATGTTTCAGTATTTATCTTATTCATGATAATTTATGTTTTATATCTGAAGAGAGAAAAGAAGAAAGCCTCCCATGACTAATAGTGACATCAGGCAGGAAAAGAAATGCAGGATGACGGGATTTCTTTCACCCAACAAAGCTCAAAATAGACATACAAACCAATGCTCAGATGCAATGTAATTACTACAAAACTAGCTGTAACTAAGTAATATTAACAATTACCTTTATTGTTATTGGTGCAGGCTGGGGGATATTGAAAAAATTACTTAAATTGTGCAACAAAAGAGACATGTTACAACAAAAAGTGCATGTAGGTTAGTCCTCAAGCTTCATTTCCTTCACACATGAACAACAATACTGAATGTATGAGTGCATAATTAAGTGAGCAATGTACACGGGACTAAAGTTAAATGAAGGAAAAATATGAAGTACAAGGCAGAGTTTTAAATTAAGAACAAAAGAGTAGAATAAAGAATTGATTTAATTAAACTGGATTCAAGGAGCAAATATTTAGGAGCAACAAGAGGATCTTATTTAAAGTGATGGGGTATGAGAAGTACTTATATATTTATTTATGCAAAACTACAGACTATGAAACTTGAAATGATCACAGGATCTGAGACACTTCAGACAGAGAGGTCATGATCCTACAAAGATAAATGAAACAGGGCATCTCCCCTTTTGCAGAGGGGACTTACTCTGAACTGAGGAGGTGGGAGTCTGTCCCGAGTCAGACATCTGTGAGGAGCGACTCTTTGAACTCAAGACCCCGCTCACTAAGCTGCCCAAACGGAGGGCTGACAAGATTGCATGAGTGATGAGAGTGCAATTTTGTGTCCAGTGTTTGTGTGTTTGAGTGGTGGGTGTGACGAAGACAAACATGTTTGATCAGGAAAGGAATTTACAGAGGAGATAAAATGACGAGAAAGAAGAAAAAAAGGTGAGGGGGCGGGGGAGTTAAATTATACTAAAAACATAAATGTTAAAAAGAGATGCAGGCAATTTTTAAAAGAACAACATTTCCTTTTTCCAAACACCCAACAGCATTTGTTACCTTTCCGCTAACTGTGTGGCAACACAATCAGAAACCCCAACTGAGGATTGATCAGTCTGAGCACCGACTGTAATAACTGGTGTGTGGCGAGAGCCTCTCCTACCTTTTACATCTTCATCCTCAATGGTGGTGTTGGCACTTTCAATGGATTCCTGAAAAACAAAAGATATGTTTTTTCTAACTGAGTAGGTCAAAGCGCCTTTGGTAAAAGAGAAAGCAAAAAATAATAATAATAATAACTACTGGATTGTTTTCCTTTAACCCAAATGTTGGGTTCATTCTGTCTGGGACAGAAGTCAGGTCAAAACATTGGTTTGTTGGGTTAGAAAAAGAAATAAAAGAACCCTCATCAATTTTCACACATCACCAGTTTGAGCTATACAAAGACTCAGTCAGACTGAACCTTTGTTATAACTTTCATTTTATTTTGCTTAAATTAATTTGAATTTCTTTAGTAAGTAAAAATACCATATTACTGTGGAATATTCTGGAGGAATTCCTATTCAAGACTTCCACTATAAGTAAGCAGCACTGAATACAAATAAAGCCTTTCACTGTCGCTTTATTAAGTAAATGTGGCTGGTTGAATTTTTTTTTTATTGCTTATCTAGTATTAAATTATGACGGAAAAAAAATAACTGGCTGAATGTTTTGTCTAATCCAGTTTTTGTTAGCAAAATACAATCACTTTAGATATAATATAGCAGATATAACTCACAAAATTATTACTCTGTGATTAGTCATTTATGTGTTACATCCCTTTACCATCTGTGTTTCCCAATGAAATATTTCTAGACTCGCCCATGCAAGTGGGTGGGGTCTGAAAAGTTGAATGTGGCTGTGGAGCTGCAGCTTACAAAAACATGTGTTAAACATTTGCCACTTTATCCAAATTTTAGAAACCCCAACCCAGTAAACTGAGCCAAAGACCTATCCCAGCTCTGGGGTATTGAATCAACTTAGGAATGGATAGGTCCTTATTTTTTGACTGTGAATTGGATTAGCCAAAAAACAACAACAAAAAAAAAACAAACAAAAACAAATTGGTTAGGGTTTAATTCAGCTGTTTTTGTATATTGATGAACATTGAGATTTTGTTGTTATACCTTATTTCCATCTACAGGGTTGTGGATCACAGTTGTCTGTGGCTCCTAAGGAGAACAAGAGAATGAAGAGCATGAGCAAACAGGTAACAATGAATAGCCCAGACATTGTCCATGAAAATGTTTTTGTGTATATTTTTTTGTGTGTAATTTTGAAATTTAAAACTATAGCCTGTGTTAAACATCACTGTCTGTCTGTCTGTCTGCCTGCCTATAACATCATTGTCTTTTTTGTGTCTGGCAGGAGTAATCAGATGTCTGGGCTTCTGCAGAATAGATCCTGATGACCCCGTCAGTCCCTCTAATCACACATCAGCAGCTTTTACTGTATTTGTGTGAGTGTGTTCTGTGTGTGCTTGATAATGAAGACAGACAGGAGGATAGAGAGAAAAAAAAACAGATCATGATTGATTACGCATGTACATGTGCCTCATGTACATGCGTAATCAAACCGTCAACGAATGAGGGAAGAGAAAATCTTTCACATCATGCAAAGCGCTGGTCACATGGCCAGACACAGAAAGCTTATAAGCAGACACTACGCAAAAGCCACTAAACAGACGGCCAAGGAGCAAATATCATCACACTCCTCACAGCCATGCACAGGCAAACTATATCAGGAACAAATCCTCAGTAATGCAGATGTGGATTCTAGTTTTATATGCACAACTGGTAGGAGTAAAGAGACATGGAAGTTAGCTGGAGAACGGTATGAGGGAATAATGTGGGGACACGGAGAAGAGGGATAGGCTGGAGATTTGAGGTAAAGGTCGCCCTAATTAGAAATTTAGGACGGTATGTCTAAAGGATTATTGCTAAAACACATCTCAGTTTTAGACCAATTAAGGCCTATACACAACATGCATGCTCTGCCAATCAATATAAGTGAAAAATATGTCAATGAACAGTCTTCACCTTTCATGGCTTGTTGTGTCAGAGATTCTGCACATGCTGTCCACTCAAATTATTGAGCATACTTTACAATTCAGGAGAAACTGGCAACTTGGCATGACTGCTGTTTCATCTCATATTTACTACCCTTGAATTTGTCAATATTTTTGCACGTCCCGTTAAGAATTTTAATCTAGTTGAGCTGTGTAGAGATCAAGCAACAGAGATTGTGAACCTGTACCTCCTCCAATCTGGAAAACGAGCTTTACACCTTTTAGTAAAAAAAAAAAAAAAAAGAAAAGGTGTGGATGTTGATGAGACTGATGAGTGTATATACCAGTGCAGAGGCAGGGCCAGTGTCTTTAGGACTGGTCACTGTGTTGGCTTTGTTGTTGACCTGCAGGGGGTAGTGTAGAGGGGACATGACACATGTACGCACTTTTTGAACTAGCACACCATATTTTCCAGCCATTTCGAAGAGATAAACCCAGCTCCTCTACCCCAAAACATGTCACACCCTACTGTTACGTTAATCACAGACTATACCTTAAATTCATGACTTCATCATGTTTTCATCATGTTAGGCAGTCAGATACAGAGCTCAACAAAAACAACCTAGCGAGGTTGTATTCTCATGTTTTGAGATGTCTGACAAGCACTGGCATGGATAAGATATTGCTTTGACTAAACCTGCAGCCCTGCAAAATGGCAAGAATGAAGATTCCATGAGTTTAATGTGCTGCACTCAGTGAACCTGTTGCCACGAGTGGATGTGTAAAATCTGCAAACATAACTTTCTATTTCCCTTAGAGGGATTAGAAATTATCATTAAGCACAGTAGTTAGTAAATCCCAAAGGTTTTTTTCTGCTTTAAAATGAACACTGTAATCTGGGTAGGACATGATTCTAAGATACAAGTTCTGATTTTCAAGGAAAATAGAGAACAGTACCTAATACAGTATTGGAATGGAGGGTAAAGGAGGAGTGGATCAAATAGAGTAAAAGTAAACATCAGATGTTAACAGTAAAATAAGTCAGCTAAACTGACTGGTACGGAAGTACTACTAAAACAAATTGTGTTGCAATCTAAGAACTTTCTTTATAAATCTGGGATTGTGAAAGGCTAAAAAACAAGTTGATTTATTCTCATTCTATTATATTTAGTATTTATTAATTTATTTCAAACAAAAAAAAAGCAACAAGTAGGACAAAACAAAAAACTTGCATATATAACTGAGAAAAAAATAAGTTTACCACTTCTTACCTCACCCATGCTTCATTAAGGAAAATTTTACATTTCGCAATCACATTAACAATGAACTAAAATGTTTTATAAAAGTCCGTCACTGAAAAACATATACTTTCATTTTTAGTTTTATTTTCTAAGTACTGCACAAGTTTAAATAAAAAATAATATTTTTTCCCCCTCTTCAAGCTGCCCAGTTAAACAAAAACATCAATACAATGTTATACACACGTTAAATGTGGATCTTTAGTACACTCCAAATATTCCTATTAAGACTCGGAAAAAGGTTTTAGATTGGAGTCAAAGATGTTCGACGGAAAAGAAACATATTTTAAGAGGTAAACTTTAGTCTGTCATCATTCCACAGACACAACTGCTTCATAACTCAATAGTCAATGAAAAGGACAATGGATGACAACTACTGGGTGGTAATAATGACTCAATTCTCCTTAAGCCCTTAGCTATTTCATGTAAAAAGTAAAATTAAAAAAAGCATGAGTACTTGCAGAATTTTCTCATAAACATTCGGGTGTTGAGATCTATTTTTGTCTTTTCTTCAGAATACAGCATACTGACTTGTGGTAGATTCAATATTGTAGAAGCTTTTGAGCAACATACAGTTGAAATGAAACCTGAAGTGTCCACTTTCATGTCTAACAATTGATCTGTCAGGAAATATTTTGGAGGATATTCAATATTTATATTTAATATTTCCTAAAATATGGAAACATCACATCAAAGGAATAAAAACATAGTATAGGACTAATATTATTTTATTTTATGAATAAAATCTGAATAAAATGCCAAAGAAATGTAACAAACAAAAAATACAAAAAAAACAAAAAAAACTAAATTTCAAGCATGTTTTGCTGGGCAAAATTAACTTAAATACTGAGAACTGTTGAGCTGGTCAGCAAAAATCAAACGTTCATCACTAATGTTTTCCCAAAGAAGGATGGATTTCAGGATTTCCAATGAAGCATTTATTCCTGCATATTTGGGAATAAAAACAGTTCCAAAGAACCTCAAGCTGCCTTTCTACAGCTGAAAGACAAGTTATTTGGAAATGTCCTGAGGACACCAGCTGATGATCTTCCAAGAGTGCATACCACCACATATAAACTTGAGGTCAAGCAAATTGGTTTTTAGAAAGATACCGAATGCAAGACATTTAGAGAAATATGGATGGATCCAATGAAAAAGAATATTTTCTCTAAAATTATGAAATGTCAGCCATTTGCCAAGTTGCATCAGATCACAGGATAATGACTACCAAATACAGAATCACATCTGTTAAATTAATTAATAATTAAAATTGTGTTTGAGACATTAATCAAAAGTTTAATTTACAAATAGCGAAAATTCCCACATGTAAAAGACCAACCAGGTCATACACAAAATAAAACCTTACATTATTTAATCTAATGTTGGCTTGTCAAAATAACTGAAATATAGATTGTATTTAGTATTTTCTCAAACATTACTTCTACACGTTCTTGGTTTTGTTCATTTATGGTGGTGCATAATGTGTTTCATGTTGTTCAGCTAAAGCTGTAAGCACCTAGAATCTCACAATGTAACCAGATTTTTTTTTTCTTTCCTTTTTGGAAACATTATTATTGAAATGGATAGTTTTTTTTTCCTTTTTGCAAGCTTTAACAACACATCTCAAGGGAACGTTAGTATGTATTCTGAACATATTCAAAAAGAGGGGAGAATCAACTCTTCATCTGGGAAACAAAACTTTGCTGAAGATTTTCTTTTTTTACGTTTGGTGTGTTTTTAATATTTTCCAGACTGCAATACAGGTGTAGGCATAATTTCCTCTTATAATTAGTGTGAAGGTGGATTAAAGAGAAAAAAAACTAAGACATCCTGAGGACAAATGTTGTACCGTAATAACCTTTATGTGGTAATACTCCATCGCACTACTGTGTGTCTGTCCTGCAATTCTTTAACATATGAGTATGTTAAAGAGCATATGCCCTTTTAAAGTAAAATGGTCCTAACACTGACACATAATACTTGCATTTGCAATTTGATCTCCAGATCAGCAGGGGCACCATGATTTTTTATGGACAAAGAAATCAGTGGCATAAGAGCCAACATAGAGATTCAAAACATACAATACACAGTATTGTTTATATAGATATAATGCAGATGTGGCAGCAATGACCTGATAATTAAAATCATTTGATCTCATGCTATGCTATGCACATGCTCTGTGTGGAACCATAAAGATTTGGTCACCTCAGAACGCCAAACATTTGACGTAGCTCCAGCAGCAAACCAGCTCAGCCTATGCCATTTTCAGATTAATTCAGCTCATACTGTAAACTGTTAAACACTTAAAATGTGCACAGACTTTTCAACTTTCACCCTGCGATGCTCAATAACTAAGTATGCAAGAACACAGTAACCCATTGTAGATTTTGTGCCCTTCATCCAGCTCCAAATTTATTTAACAAGGACACATTACTAAATCAGACACCAGATGTGATGTAGAATATTATATTTCCCAAAATGAGCTCCATTTAATGATTTTTAGTCAAAAAAGTGGCTTTAGATTCACCAACCCACATATTAAGAAGTAGTGTGATGACAGCTGAAGTGCCAAACACAGTGACCCAGCTTCAAAGCATAAACAGAGAACTCCAATCTAAAATGAACACCTATTTGAATAATAAAAATTATTAGCCAGAGTCTCTTAAGAAACTAATAAAAGCTTGCAGTGATGTCAGCAAATATATCACCATGTCTGATGTTGAATAAAAAATAAACCAACAGACCAATAGAGGTGCTATACTTTGTATTATAAGGACTACCAAACACATGCAACATGGTAAATTTAGGAAACATACATAGGAGAAATTAAATAGACAATTAAGTGGACTAAACTTAGATACTGTATGGGCTCTACAACCAGCCTTAAAAACAAGCATTTTTCAAAGCATATGCTGACTGTCCCATAGTTTTGTAATGAAGTGCATAATGCATAATTAAAACCATAAGGCCCAGGCACAATTCAACATTCCATTCAAAACAATGCAAAGGGAAAGAAAAGGGCCGCCGGCCTCTTCAACTCACCTTAACGCCATCTGTTTTTTTGTTGAGCAAACTTTTGGCTGCTGCATGTGCCAAGAAAGAAAGAAAAGTTCAGAATGAGGATTCATAATCATAGTCCTGTGCCTGAGGCCTCACTAACATGCAGCAGGCATATTTAACTATCAGTGCTTAGCTTTAATTTACATGTGCAAATAAATACAAGTGCAAGAACTATAAAGTTATACTACAAATGGTTCTAATACCATTATCACTTATGCAAGGCAGTTATCCTACTAGAGATTCATTCATAAATAAGGGACTGAAGGGAAGGTTGTAGCTGAGTGAATATAGTTCAGGTGAAAAGATGAATTAACATATCAGTAAAAGACTTACATTCTTAAAGTGACATATACATGCACCAGAACCCCAAACTTTTAACACTATAGATGCACCAAGACATTGGCTGGAAATCGGAATTAGACAAATGAGCTTGATAGGCCCTGACTGGTGACTGGCTTATTGTAAAGCGAAAAAAAATCCTGTATTTTTCCATTTAGCTACCACATAATTTCAAAGGGTAATCAGATTGCAGTGACAGCAATACTGAAGAAGTACATATTATAAAGAAAAACTATTGGAAGCACAACAGTCTGCTATGGAGAACTAAACTTTTGAGAGTGCTGGTCATTTAGCTGCTTTGCGATTTTAAGTGCATTCTTTTTAACTTTTGGGGAAATGTAAAGAGGCTTCTTGAAACTGGACTTCTATCAAATTAACATATAGACCCAAACAGAGCTTTAGCAATTAGCATACTTTAGCAACATTCATCAAATTTCTGTTTTATTCTTTTCAGCTCCTCAACTTCTCTCTGTTAAGGAACATGCCAATTTTAGCTATTTGGGGATATCTGAGTTATGGTAAGGGTTCACATTTTCAAGAGAAAATAGGAACTTATGTCTTTAGCTAGTTATGCTAATGGTGCTAATCTTTCAAATAATGCTAGTCGCTATCAGCTAGAAATGTCAACTTCATAGTCAAATTTTGTTTGTTATAAACGATTACTAAAACACTATAAATCAGTGCAGGAACACTAAAAAAATATTTATTGAAAAATATGAATTATGGCCATCTAAGAGGAATCAGACTTATTTAAAAATCTGTATCAGTAGGTCAGATATTTACAAAGCTAATGACCATGAACTGGCCACAAGTCTCTGACAGGTGCACTTCTATTCAGTACCATCTCTCTGCTTTAAATATACCTTTGTTTATACTTTGTTCTTAATTATTACTAGCATTTTAAAATCCATGCCATATGCTGTTCTTTGTAAAGTACCTCTTTTTAAATTTTTATGGTGCAATACTGGTTTTGTTAAAAGAAGAAATGCAAAAAAAAAAAAAAAAAAAAAAAAAAAAAATTGTCTCCTTGCATGCTTCACAGGCTGTTAGGACAGAAGGAGAGCCTTAAGATAAAAAATAAAATAAAAAATTGGTTGGATCCATCCCCACACATTTCCTCATCATCCCAAACATCTTACCTCAAATGGATACCACAATCCAAACACAGAAACGGAAATAAAAATTGAAAAAGGGAGGAAAATTGTGAATATAAAGAGAGACACAAATGTGTTGATGCAATTTACTGTAAAAAGTGGAAAGTGAAAGTGGGCTAACAAAACCCAGAATATTAGTGACGGGTCAAAAGAAATACATGCAAGAGAGAATATGAAAAAGCAGAAGAAGAGTGATTGAGCAACAGCTGGAGAGATAAAGTGAGATGAATCTGTTTACCACTGGCCCATTTGCTCTAAAAACCATCCCTGCTCCATACTGAAACATATTAAATTCCAACTCCAGCATGCATTGAAGTCAATCAATAACAAATGCAGTTTTTATAGAAAAATTCCCACCATCAGTGTAAAAGGCCAACTTGCTCTAACAACCAGCCAATATATTTAATGTCCAAGATACAATTCAGAAACCAGTCATGGGGCACCAGGCTGAGAAAAACATACCTGAGAAGTTTCTTGTGACCAGCAAAGTGGTCAATATTGCTCCCTGCAGTTACAGAAGAGGACAGAAGGAGGAAATGGCAATGGTCAAAAAAGAAGAAAGGAAGGAAGATTCATTAGGAGGTTTCAGCAAGAAGAGAAATGCTCAGCAGCAGTGCGGCATTAGGGATTTGGAGACACGTCATCATTTTGAAGTTACTGTGAGATATCTTGGGAGAGGCTGGGGAGGAATGGGCAGATGAATTACCCAGCATGAATAGAAACATCACCAATTGTTTGACTGCAGTATCACCTTGAGTTTCCTCCTTGCATTAAACTTCTTCAGGCACTCCACAGTCTCCTGCCTGTGCATCATGGAGGCTACGGTGGACCGTTGCTGCAAGGAAGAGGGAAAACGTATAGAGTTAGAAAAGAGTGCAGACAATAACAAAACTGAATCAAGGTCTGTATAATTATTCATCTATGTTTTCTTGAAACATACGCAGATCCAGGGGTGTTTGAGGGCCTCTGCAGCGGTGATGCGCTTACTGGGGTTGATAGTTAGCATCTTGTTAATGAGATCTTTGGCCTCGGGAGTTACAGTGTCCCACTCTGGGGATGGAAACTGTTAATAAGAACACAGGAGCGTTCAAAGCTCTTGTATCCAACACAAAAAACAATATATTTTTGACACTTTTGAAACCATAGAAAGATCTAGATGAGATGGAGAACTTGTTTCTTTGACTAAGTCGCTTTATGTGACGATCTGGTTGCATACGCAAAATCTTTGCACAATGATCTGTTTGTATACAAAAACCACAATGTACGTGAACCAAAAGCAAACTATCAAAGTCTTCTCAGCCAACTGTCAAGGCCTAATAAATTTTAAAGCTTTGATCTGAATACGATATTTTATCTTATTTAGATAAGATATTCAGATTGTAATTCTTTTTTTCTAAAGAATTACAACTAAAATCAACAACTCAGTGAGAGTTGGGATTTCCAACGCTCCCTGAGTGTTGGAAATACCAAAATTCATCCATCTCAGCTCCTGAGTAAACCAAGGGTCATTTCTGGGTGGGCCACCACACTTAATTCTCTTTAAAGCATCTGTCAGAAATGACAGTAAATTCCTCCAACTATGTCATTCCTGTAAGCAGGAAAGATTTTTCAAACTTCATGAGACGTACCACCCACTGTATGAACTATCAGTCACAAGCTCATAGGCAGTCATGCAGCTGTTTAGTATAATCAATTCCTATTCCTAAGTTCTGTCTGGTAAACTAACCCAGTAAAAAAGAAAAACAGAACTTGTAGATCACCAAAAGAAGAAATATGTTGCCATTGTTGCGTATGTTGATGAATAATGTTCCTTTGCGACTTTGACCTTATGTGAGTGTTTTTATCTCAGGAACTTGAAGTGTGTATACATAGGGACAATGAACAATGATTAACTTTCTGTAAATGCAACAGAGTTAGTAAACAGGCTATTTTTCATGTGTTAAAGCTGAAGGACCTGGAGAGAACCCCGTTTGCTCAGCAAAAAAATTAAGAAAAGCCCTGGTTGTATTTGAACCCAGAACCTCCGTGCTGAAAGGCAACAGGGCTAATAACTGAACCATCTTGCAGCCTGGCTCAAGATTTAGCAAGTAGAACTAAAAGCTTATGTGGAGCTGTGCCCACATGATCAGTACTGCAAATCAGTTCACCCTGGATAATGTTACCTTTCGGAAAGCTTGGAAAGAAAGGCAAAGTGTGGGAGGGAGCTTGACGATAACCTCTGAGACACTATGATATTTTTAACCTCTCTCCCTGACTAAAGTAACAACAGAGTAGATTTTATTTGGTGGATATTTTATCAGAAGGCATTTTGATCTTACAAAAATCTAGATTTTGCCCCAGTAGAGCATCATTCTCAGAATACTTTTAATAGGAACTGCAATGTAGTTTTAATGTGTTGCATTTCTGTAATATTTTCAGGTTTTACTACTTGCTAACAGCAAAAACAGAAATAGAAAATGAATGGGAGTTGTCTGATGGTGAATCTGGCAATGTGTGATATAGGACATGTGTGTCATGATGTGTGGATGAGGGGTGCGGGAGGACGCAGGCAGACCCCAGGATAAAGGCGATGATGATTTCATCATGAAAACACAGGGACACAAGAAGCTGGCAGAACAGACTGGTAAGACACACCGAGGATCCGATGAGAGACAAAGACAACAGGTGGGTTTAAATACACAGGGAGGATAATCAGAGAAACGATACACAGCTGGGAACAATGAACAGGGAAGACACAGAGACTCACAGGGGAACAAACTAATACACACAGAAAAACCTCAAAATAAATACACAGAAAACACATCATAACAATGTGACTACCAAGAACATAAATCTGGTAAACAATTTACAAATCAGGCACAAATGTTTTTTCGTTTTTTTGATGACATTATGCATGACACATAAACAATTTTTTAAAGATATTTTGTCATTGGTAAACATAGTGTTTATTTGCTGTGAGGTTCTGAATATTGCAGCAAAGTCATTTTAATCTTACCTGTGCTAACCTCTCAAATATTATGTTTTAACTTGCAAAAACCCCTTTTTTGAAGCTCAATTGTGTATGATGAGAACATCAGTATGTCCACAAAAATGTCTGCAAATAATTGGTGTTTACGTTGTATTTTCATGTAAGGTATATATATATTTGTGGACACTCACATCATAGGCCCCTGCCTTGATTTGTTGGTAGAGGCGATGTTGATCTTCATCCCAAAAAGGAGGGTAACCCACAAGGAGGATGTACAAAATCACACCTAAAAAGAGATCACTTGTAAATAAATGTAAGTAAATAAAAAGGCAACAGGATGGCTGCAGCCACAGCAGCCAGTATTGATTCAAAAAATTATACAAACACAATTTACACTGCAACAACATCTGGAAAAAATATGAAGCTGTGGAGTTGCATTACAACAGAAAGCCACTGGCAATGATTTAGCTAAATCATCAACTGTATTCAACATGTAACAGTGGAAACATCTGAAACTCGTTTACCACAGGCCCACATATCAACTGGTTTCCCATAAGGGTCTTTCCTCAGGACCTCTGGGGATAAGTACCCAGGGGTGCCGGCAAAACCTGCAGAGTTTAAAAGTAGAGAGGGGGAGATGTAGAAGGGATGATATGTTAAGAATATTTCTTCTTTGCTTTGGAAAGCTTCATGAGAATGATTTGTTTATTCACATTGTGTTGAAAGGGACTGTGATGATACACATCTGCTGTGGAAAACTTACTTTGGCTGCTGTGTTGTTTTAGCTGGATGATACTGAATTGAATATGCAGGACGCTTAATTTGGTGAAGTGGGTTTGGATTCCTGGGAAACTGAGGTTGGATGTGTTCTTACACAAGGGGCAACAGGCTCTGAATTCAGACTTCCCCGGAACCCATTTTAAAAGACATCTAGTACCATGACAGAGTGAGCGAATAAGAAATGCATATTGCAGGAAATGCTTTTGTTTTAATTAACTTTTGCAAGGAGACTAATTCCACAGCAATTAAATAAGATTGGATGCAAGTTCTTCTTTGTAATGATACAGAATGACAGGGAAGCATTTATCACTCAGCTTACTTGAGTTTGATAAAACTCATCTTAACAAAGCTACTGTTGCCAACTATTACCAATTATTACCTCATGTTCTGCAAATTTCACTGGCTAATAAACCAAATGCCCCCTTTCACAGTAGAATATGCATATCTTTGTCAGAGCTGTAGTCTGTGGCTTACATGCAGCATCACTTTTGCTCCTGATCACTGGAGATAAAGAATGTTTGTGAACCAGTCTCTGACTTTGAGTCTTGATCAAGCTTTGAGTCTTTGGAGCACAAGTCCAGGACAAATCACAAGATTTGGTTTTGTGACTTGTAAAATGAACTCAAGACCAAATCCTTGTCTCATGTCCACACCTCTATCTTTATCTGACACTTAGTTATGGTTCCCATGGACTTAAACCCTTATCCTGTTCCAGAGTCTGGCTTGTTAGTAACTTGGGGAGTTTTGTGAACTATTAAAGTAAAGAAAAAATGTATTCCTCAACTAAAAGTGGAGAAACAGATGAATGGATACTCACCAAACCATGCCTGTTGGTCCCCCTGTACCTCGATAGCCAGCCCAAAGTCAGCCAACTTGACCGCCGCCCCCTTCAGCTTACTGGCCAACAGAAGGTTCTCAGGCTGGGGGGGGCGGAGTCAAACAGGTTAGAGGTGAGAGGTCAGACGCTCAGGGATCATGCTGCCCACAGACACAGATCTAAAATCAGATTAGCCAAACCAATACCTAATCAAAGCTATTAGGTCTTAGTGACACTAAACTGCTCTTAAATCAGTGTCTGAGGCAACTCCCTTTCTGTCACACAGATGACAGAGACACAAAACGTGCACAGGACTGACTCTCAAGGTGACCACGGACATTTTGTGTGCTGGGACTATGGACTTGTCTCCTGAGCCTCATTGATTAAGAAAGAGAGGCTTGGTGAAGAACGAGCGTTCTTTCTATAATGCCACAAATATACTGATAAAATCCATGAGTGGGAGCAAAGCCCACAGCGAGGAAAGAGATACAGGGGAAGGAGTGGGGTAACAAGAGGCGTAAAAACATGACTCAGCCACATATATATAACTACAAACACGTTGGAGACTGGCACAGTTTAGTAGAATCAAAGATTTTTATGAGCCCACAGTATGCACACACACACACACACACACACACACACACATACACATTTTCTCAAAAACACACCCTTGCACACATACAGTGGAGCAGAAAGGTCTTTGCTAACCTAAGGCCAGTGAGACAGTGTGCTCTAATGAATAATACATTTGTTAACATTTAGAGACTCCAAACACAGACAGCCTGCAAAGCTGGCGGTTTATGGCAGGCGTACAGCTCACCGGGCACAGACACTCACATCAGCACACAGACTTACATGACAGTGAAGGAAATCTTGATATTATGAGGCACATATAAGCTTCATCATTTCAGTAAAGGACATCTTTCCCAACAAATTCAGCAACTTTAAAATCTTACAAGAGTTAATAACTTTTGAGTTTTCTTTCCCCCTAGATCTAATTGTCATCACATCCTACTTGTAATTATGCTGATCCTTGATTAATTCTGTTCCCACCAATGCTGTGCAACACAGTTGCAGACAATCATTAAAAAAAAAAAAAAAAAAAAAAAAAAAAAAAAAACAAAAAAAAAACCCCCAAAAAAATATATTTTTTTA